GTGAGTCAAATATGGATAAGATCAAAAATCTGTGAGCCCTTTCAAGTCAAAATATTGTTTTAAATGGAACAGCCTCACCAAAAAAGACAAATCAGCAGAAAAAGGGAACTTTTGCAGTGTTAGTCTCCAATGCTGAAGAGAACACGCTGAGCATGGGCAAACGATTTATGACTTATCAATAAACCATTCAACCAACAATATAAACACTAAAATAGAATTGAAAAGTTTTAATTGCTCCCTTTAAAACTTGCTGAATTTCTCATTCCTATTCATTCTACTTCATTCATTCTAAAGCATTGCGCAAACTGTTGGCGCTATATAAATCCTGTATTATAATAATAATCATAATAATTCTACTTAGTGTTATTTCTGTGTCTCTGTTCTTGTGGCACCAGTCACTGAAACAGTAATAAGAACAGGTCTTGCCAACACAGACATAGACGAACCCCAAAACACAGGTTCTCCAGTTTATCCAAAAAAGGGGTGGTTTACTTTATTATTATTTTTTATTAATTATTGACCATAATAACATTTTCACAACTGTCTTCAGATCTGCTAAGCTTCTAAAACTTGAAACCAGCTTTAGAGTGTCTGTAGATATTGGGGTTGATTTACTTAAAGGAGCTGTAAAGTCCCAGCATACAACATCCTGTTAACTTCAGAATTGTGAAAGGAATGCATACTGTACCATAGTTGTTTTTGATAATGCAATCAAAGCTTACTTGTTACATGTAGTGAGTGCTGCCTTCCAACTGTTCATCACTTTCAACAACTTCCTGGATTGCCAGTGTGCTTTGCATCCCGTTCTCTGCTAATTTCACAAGACTACATAGACCTTATCCACTTAAACTATGTGAAAATTCAGGTGAACATGTACTTTGCTTAGTGAACGTTCTATGCTTATTTGCTAGCATATCCAACAGTCTTCTTCAACTCCAACATTTATTTATCTTTATTTATTACAGGTATTTATATAGTACCAGCAATTTACACAGCACTTTACATATTGTACATTCACATCAGTCCCTGCCCACAAGGAGCTTACAATCTAAGGTCACTATCTTTCTTTTCATTAGACCAGCGCTAATTACCCTACCATCATGTCTTTGGAATGTGCCAGGTAACCCACACAGGCACAGGGAGATAATTCAAACTCCTAACTGAGTATTGCTTGCAGTGCTGTGACTGCACACATGGCTAGAAATGGATGTATCCTTTAAGCTGTGTTGATGAAGGAGGATTTTGCGTTCTCATTTTCATTTAAATGCTTGTTCAGGACAGTGAAATTATTTACATATACATAGTAAGGTTTTAGGTAAAAAAAATCCTTTCAGGGGAAACAATTATGGGCTAAAAAGAAGTTTGCTGAGCCTTCTTTCCTCCATATGTGATGACAGTAATTATATGACAGTAATTATACTCATCACAGACGTTCACTTCTTAATTATTTTTCTGTTAGATGACCATGCTTGGCCAGTTTGTTACAGCAAATCCCAAAATGTAACCTAAAGCTAATGACTAAGTGATTGTCCTTGGATTAAACTGTTATCACTAATACAAAGGCTTGTAATTCAGTACAGGACAAACTGTATATACAAACATATCTTGTATAGCTCAAGATTTCTTTCTCTTGCTCTTTTATTATCCTAGGGTGATAGCCAAGTATAATCCTGGATTTAAATTCTAAAGTATTAAATACAAAACCGGAATGTTGTTTTGCTATTTACAAGTCCTCAGAGAGTTCTTTTGATCTGCAAAAGCTTATAGACGTGTCTCCTTTAAGCCCCTTTAATTTCCTATAGTAGTTTAAGATCTAGAATGACTAGAGCCATGTTTTTACACTCTTTTATGGGCAGCTAGCTCAGTGGAAATTATATACGTGGTGCTGCCGGAGCCTTTTCTCAGTAAAAAAATGTTAGGTAGGGTGAAAGTTCCTCAATTAGCTAAAAAAGATAATTGAAAAGATAATTTTAATAACCAGCAATGTTATAATAACCTCCTTATTCTGGGTTCTCACACATACCTTGTATGCATTTCATTTGTGTAGAGTCAGTTTCTAAAAGCAGGACTCTAGCCAAAACCTTTTTTCTGATTGCTTTTTTGATTGCTATAGGTGTACACCCATTAAGCAGGTTTTTGATTGTTTCCTGATCACCAGGACAAAACATCAATATATATTGGTTTATATTTGGCAAACTTGGTTAGATTCTTTATTTTCCCCATTCTGCTAGGGACTGAATAAAAACTGTTTTGTTTAGTTTTGCACTTTATCAATATAATGTTTTTCAGGCAGGCATTTTCCAGTAGGACTGATCCATCTCTAAGTACTGTAGAGCTTCTGTATGCTCCTTAGCTTCAACCATAAGTTGTATTGTGGGTTTTCCACATTTCTTCCTTCAATATACTAAGGCACTGTACCTTACAAGAAATTTTCATGTGCTGAAAAAGGTCATTTATATGCAAAACTTTCAGCTTTTACTAGTTCATGCATGCTTTTTTAGCCGCCAAGTGTGCAGAAGCTGTTTTCCCTGGTTTCTGATGTTTTAGGTGCATTAGAAACCGGGCATGTCAGCCATTTTAAGTAGGGTTGGTTAAGTAGGGATACCAAGTACAGTACACGGTACAAGTATGAGTACATGTACCGATACTTTTGAGCTCCAAGACTACACTAGAGAAAAATTCAAAAGTTAGGAGGCAGCTGTCATTTGTAAGGAGCACACAAAGCTCCTGGGATTTGTACATCTCTGTTTTAATGAATGATTTTGTTTTTATAAATATAAATAAAGGGATGCACAGATACCAGTTTTGCAAGTACGAGTACTGGTACTTGCAGAGTACTTACAAGTACGAGTACTGATACATTTTTGTTTATTGTCATGTGACAGTTTTTCTAAAACAATACAGACTAATGATTTCAGGACAGTGGTGGAGCGCCAGAGCCAGGTCCCAGCTGCAACTGCTGCAACCCTGGTAGTTCTCATGAAAATGCCAAGTATCGGCACTGGTACTCGAGAAGTATCTGTACATCCCTCATTTTAAGCTTTTAAAAGTCTGTAGTAGCAAAGTCAATCTAATTCAGAGAGGCCAACAGAGGAGGTTTTTTTTTTTTACAATAAAGGTAATGGTAGATTGCTTGTGGTGGCTGCCTTTTAGCCATTAGGAATTTTTCTATTTGAGACAGGAGGGGGGAAGCCACATGGAAGTGCCAGAACATCGCACCATTCAAGTATTTGGCTGTAGCAGACGTAAAGAGCTGCTGCAGGCCTGTGCATGAACCTCTGGGTTCCTTGATTCCGTACCTTCTGTCAGCTCTTTTTTTTAAGTGAGTAATTTTAAGCTTATAGTCTAGTATATATGGCATGTGTGTAGTCAAAATAAGAACCAAACACATTTTTTTGTGCCTATATGCATAAGACCTATATGACCCAACCCTGGAGCTGCAAAGGTACTTTAGTAATAGTATGGACAAAGGCTATGTGCATCTCCCTTAACGTGACACTGAACTCAGGAGTTAAACTTTAAAAGTGCATTGAAGTACCTTAACTATTAACAAAAATGTATCTTATTTGTGTGTCACTCATCTGCAGATCCTCAAATCATCTCTGAATTGGTGCCGACACTGCCCTTCCTTCTTGTGGGCTGCCTACTTTTGTTCCCCATGGTCCCTGTGTGTGCTGTAAAGTAGCCACCACTCCAAGCTCACTGTGATAAACTACAACTTCAATACAAATTAGTAAACTACATGTGAGATTGTAGTCTATCACGGGAGGAAGCTTGGAGTGGTGGCTACTTTACAACACACAGGATACATGGGGAACAAAAGTAGCCACCCTCCAGAAGGAAGGACAGTGTCCGCACCAATCTGGTTCTACAGCTGAGTGATACATGCATAAGATACATTTGTGTTAATAGTTAAGGTACTTGAATGCATTTTTAGAATTTAACTCCTGAGTTTATTGTTACTTTAACCCTAATTTAATTAGTTTAACTTCAAATACAGCCTAATCTCTGTGTGATACATTGTATTCTGAATGTCCCTAGTATATGATCATTTCCTCAGTTTAACATAGAGCCTTCTGATTTAACTGTGGCTTGCTTTTTAATCCTTGTTTGAGGAAAAGCTCAATCTGCATGAGCATGCACAATACCTATTAACAATTCGAGAAATTTCCCTAGTTATTTCCTGTTATTGTAGTTAATGTCGTTCAAAAACAGAGCATGCTAGCACAAAACAGAGCTTGTCGTTATCCTAACACTTTAATGTTTTGACAGGACTGCAATGTATTTGTCACTTTTATTCAATAATTGTATTAGTCTGTACAGTTTACGTGCTCAAGTTACTGCATGCAGTGTTAATCCATTATGCAAACACAAATACATTCTTGCAGATAAAATATAGGCAGTGGGTAAGTACACTATGCCCAATGAGCCAGGTTATTTATTGTAACCCCAATTGAGAAAATACATAGACTGCAAATTCTGAACCCTTCTTTTGAAAATGCTAGTTTCTTGCTGGCCCAAGTAAATTAAAAAATGGTGTGTAGCCTTTTTGTTTTTTTTTTACAAAAGTTGATTTTCCATTGAAGGAAATGTAGTCCCTAAATGGGTCAGTGGTCTTCTTGTGGATGACTGTGGTTAAATCCAAAGTGAAACATTTATTTTCTTATAATTGTACCACTGTTCATAAATGTCCTTTCTCCATTGCATATTTGGCCTGGCTGAACAAAAGACATATATCTATTTGATTTTTCCTTTCTCTGGTTTTGGAACTCTCATATATTTTTTAAAGAACTTGAACTTTTTTTAGCCTTTGTAATGCACAGCTGTGCACCATGGCCGTCAGATCTGTATCAGTGACAAAGCCTGGTCCATATATGCCACCAACCATTTTTTATATCTTTATCTGACTGCAGGGACACTGTTTTTGACACATTCAACAAATTCTGCTTTTTTGTTTTGTTGCCAAAATAAATTTACTATCCTGTTTTATTTTTCCCTAGGTCAACCTTTTAAGCTAGACCCCAAATCTGCACATCGGAAGCTGAAAGTTTCACATGACAATTTGACTGTAGAAAGAGACGAAACTTCTTCTAAAAAGAGCCACACACCAGAGCGTTTTACAAGCCAAGGAAGTTATGGCGTAGCTGGCAACGTGTTCCTTGACAGTGGCCGCCATTACTGGGAAGTGGTTATAAGTGGAAGCACCTGGTATGTATTAAGTATCGGTCCCTGAGCTTGTATGCTTTGTTTTTTTTCTTTCTTTTTATAAGAAGCCTATACCATAATGAAATAGAAATAATATTTGAATAGTAACACAAGCAGAGCTGGGTTTCCCCAAACTATTTAACATTAATACCTGCATATCAATGTTCAGAGGAAATTGAAGATTTTAACCTTCTCTGTAAAACCTGTTCCTTTGGGTCATTTCATTTTATTGTCAACTGTACCAGATTTCTTCAGTTAAAAAAAAAACCTTAGGGTTAGTGGCTGTGATATGAATGTGTCCGGAACTGAAAGCACGTTACATTTTTAAATTGTATAAACTGCCTACACACAGATGGTGAAACCATTCTGTGGCTGCACACAAGTCGGGTAGATCATACAAGTGGGTCTGCTATCTCAATTTTTCTTAAGAAATTGAGTCTTGTAGCTTGTGACTTCAGCCTGTCCTTTGGTGGATATGTCTATATTAACAGATCTGACAGACCTAGTTGTATGAGCTTTGATTCCAGTTCACACAAATGCCAAAAGAAGAAGTTGTATTATGACCACTCAAACAAGAATTCCCATCTCATTCTGTGTCAGAGCTGGACTGTCCATGGATAAGATATTCATAATTTTTAACCGGAGTTTGACTGGTCATCAGAAATGTTGCATCCTTTTGTGACTTTCCTTCCAAGTCAAATGATTTTCTTTTGTGATGTGCACAGTACAGAGATCACTCTTTTTATAATGGAAAGGCAGCAAGGTACATAAGTAGTTAACATTCATGCCTCGGGTCCTGGGTTCAATAAACACCATGGAAATTACATCTGTGGTGTTTGTAAGTTTTTGGGGTCTATTCACTAAGCTGCCGAGGGCAGCCGAGTGAATGACCGATCAGAAGTGAAGTGAGCCGAACACTGTTCGGCTATTCACTTCAGGCTAGCACGGCTGATTTCAGCCGTACATCGGCTGAAATTAGCCGTACATCAGCTTGCTTCGTGTGGCTTCGGGTCGGCCGAACATGCTCAGCATGTTCGGCTGACCCGAGGTGCAGAAGGAGTTCGACTCAGCCGATCCAACATCTAGATTGGCTGAGCCGAACCTCCGGCAGGCTTCTCACTGCTGTTCGGGCTATTCTGAAAGATCCCGAACAGCAGTGAGAGAATAGCCGAATGCCGAATGCCTCGGCGGCATTTGGCTCGGCTGTTCTGCTTTTTCTCCTGAACCGAAGGGGTCCTGGGGCCGAAGCTAGCCAAAGGATCGGCCGAAGCTACGGCCAGATCCTTCGGCAGCTTTGTGAATAGACCCCTTTGCGTTTTTCTGGACTTCCTATGGTTTTCCTCCACAATGCAAAACATACTGTTAGGTAAATTGTAGTCTAAGCAAACTGGCTTTAATATATGACTGGAAATTTAGATAACAAGCTTCTCCTGTGCAGCATCTTATGTGAATGGTTCTTTGTAAAGTGTTTTGTAATATTTCAGTGCGGAATAAATTAAATGCTTAGTTAAAGGAGAATTACAAGTCAAGTGATTTTCACTCTTCGGGCACAGCTGGCTCTGCCTCTGGATAGGCAGAGTCAGCTGTCAATCCCGCAGCTGGGTGGATTCAGACAGTATTGTCAGGATCCGTCCCGGCTGTGGCGTCTGAGTATACCGCGAGCTGTAGCACGCGCTATACTGAGCTTTGGGTCACGGGAGAACACTAGTTTGTAAGCCCTCAGGGGCAGGGCCCTCCTTCCCATCTTGTCTTGAATTGTATTGTGATTGTAATGTCTTATATTGTAAAGCGCTGCGCAAACTGTTGGCGCTATATAAATCCTGTATAATAATAATAATAACTATGGGGAAAAGCCCTGACCTCAAAGTTCTCCTTTAAACTGATTTTCCAGCGTAGTAGAAGGTCTCTGCGCTATGAATAGAACACTTTCTGTCACTTGTGTAACCTTGTTTATTGTCCCTTATTCTGTCAAATTTGTATTAGTTATACTGAGATGTTTCACAGTGCAAATGCACATTGGACCCAGTAATAGAACCATACAGAGGGTGACTCTGCTTCTGCCCTCTCATGCAGCTTGCTATTATATGCCTGCAGAAAAAGAGACACTCAGCAGAGCTGCATAATAGACATGATTTAGATACAAAAATGTATTAGGAAAAAAGAGATTACATAAAATAATGTAGAATATAAACATTAAAAAGTATCCCAAACATCATGTAACATTAGTCATAAACAAGTATCAAGATGTCACATATAGGCATAATAATATAACGTTAAGTGCAAAAAAAATGGGAATTATACAATTCATTGAATAAATAAAGAACTTGTAGAAATATTGAAAATGCAACATAACTATCAATTAGAAGAAAGGGACATCAAGCAGGCACATGATGGCTCAGTAACACCACCTGCATACTGATAGTGTAGCTTTGAAAAAATGTTTAGGTCAATGATTGCTCATTTATGTAACTGTAATATGCTATAGTGTTCCAGTAGACATATAGAATGTGTTCTAAAAATATTTTATCATTCTTTTTTAGGTATGCTGTTGGCATTGCATACAAGTCGGCACCAAAGCATGAGTGGATAGGAAAAAATTCCGCCTCTTGGGTATTGTGTCGCTGCAACAACAACTGGGCAGTGAGACATAACAATAAGGAGATTCCAATTGAACCCTCACCACACCTGCGCCGCATTGGAATTTTGTTAGACTATGATAATGGCTCTCTGTCGTTTTATGATGCTTTGAACTCCTTTCACCTCTACACTTTTGACATTGCTTTTGCACAGCCTGTGTGCCCAACCCTCACTGTGTGGAACAAGTGTCTGACAATATTAACAGGCCTTCCTATACCCGATTACCTGGACTGCATTGAGCAGCTGCAATGATTCATCCTTGTGCAATCAGAACTTCTTTTGAGTGCATTGTTATTTTGGAGAGTTTTCTTTCCTTGGTTGAAGTTCAAAACAGGAATGTTTTATTGGTTATTTATGGATTTTTGACTTTTGATTAGAATTTTTTTCTGTTTTGCACATTGACTTATTTGTCGATCTGCCGCATCCTGCTTGTGGTGCTCACAACAGAATGTGACAAACTAAGCCTGCAGGTTATGGATTTTTGCCCCTGTCCTTAACAGTAAAATGCCACTTCTTCAAGTACTGATCCTGCAACTGATATTTCTGGTATTGTTTTATATTTCAAAATACATCCGTAAGCAAAAATTAAGTTAAAAAAATCTACATTATTGGAGCCTATTTTTGGTGCATTACAAAAGTATGAATTATACATACTGTATTTGCATGTGTTATCAGAACCAGCCATGCTGTTGTGACTTTTATAGGAATGTTTTATTTTAAAACAATTTTATGGAATAGTTAGGAGAAAATCACTGGTAATGAAGAAGAACAATATTGAAAGACTTAATTTGAATGTATAGTATATGCCTTTCCCATTCTACCACTGAAGGAAGCACTTAAGTTCCCCAACCACAGTGCTAAGCTCCTCAAGAGGCAACAAGCCCCACCCCATGCAATCCTGACCATTCAGTGGACATTAGTATGCATAATATCGATCAATAAGCAGATAAAGTTTTAGGATTTAGAGTGAGAAATATATGTCATGTCACAATAAAGGTGATCACAAACACGAGAGGGTGGTTAGAGAGCACGTATAATTCAACCACCATCAGAGAAATCATCTGTCAAAGTGCTGAACTCTGTTAACGTGGTTCTGCCTAGCTGGCAATTGACATATGTAGAGGGGAGGTGGTGACCGCTTATCAGTGAGGGAAAAATAGTGATAAGGATAGGTTTTCTAAACGTTCAGCTTTACCCCATGATAGTTGCCGATCAGCTAGCTCGGGGGACACCGACAGGCATACAATACTATGCTGCTCCAGCTTACAACAGGAGACTGCCATGTCAGTTGTTAATTTCAGAGGGTAACACCTGAGAATAGATTCTGTATTAACATAAGAAGTCCTGCCTTTCATTTTTTTAAAAAACATGTTTATATGTATGTCTCTCTCTTAACCACTGATATGCAGTCTTTGCTTATCATTTTATTGAATGTCCATTGGAGTTGTTTCATCATTTACATGTTCGTCAATGGTAGAAACAGCTTTCTGTACATCAAACCTTTAACAATCACTAAGATTACTGACATATGCTGGTGATGAATGGGTCAGCTTTTCAGACACCAACCACAAACATAGAGGGGCTATTTATACTAATTTGTATTTGATGACAGAGCATATGGCCTCATTTCAAAGTAATGAAAAACCTTTAACAATAAGGAGATCTCTTAGGATGATGGGGAATTTCTAACTTCCAAAGGATTTAGGTCATGTCTCTTGGGCCCTGTACACACAAGTATTAAAGTGGAGTATGTACATGATACATATCACTGACACCTGTACTGTGTTACCTAACCAAAAAGTGTATTGTGCTGAATGTATGCATTGACCAGAAGCACTTAAAGTGTTAATCTGCTGAAATTTACATAGGTCTGTAACTCTGCAGCTAGTGGGAGTCCTGATGCAGAAGAAGGTGATGAAGAATTCATCTTTGCAAATTTCTTCTAGGGAGCTTTGATGATTAAAGTTTAAAAGTGTCTCTTGTAGATCTTATTTTTGATTCGACAGTGTCGAGCACACAAGTAGTTAACCCCTAATTCTGTATTAATCCTGGTATTACCGCTAATATTTTTTATTTAAATATTACAGGTAATATTTTACTAGTACTGTACTTTTGCTTGATTTAATAATGATTGATTTAATAATGTGTGCGCCGTCTATATGCCTCAGTGAAATTTGGTTGCCATTTTAAACTTGCCTCCTTCAAACACAGTGTGCATTTCTACATTACATTTAAGAAAAGTCTTCTAAATATTCAGTTTCTGCTCATTACCAAAAATAGCCGGGTGAACAAGTTGAAAGTACTGAGGATAAAAGGTTTAGGAGATTAACAGTGTTCTAAGCAACAGCAGTAATACATCAACCCTCTAGACAGACTAGAAGTGGACATGTTACACCTGGCCAGTTATCCCAGTAGCAATGTACGAGGCTTTCCAGACTTCTAAAATAGACCCAAGAGGTTTATTTCTGCATAGAAATCACAAAAATGTTATTTTCTTTTTCAATGAAGGTTTTTGTTTTGTACTTTATTTTCCAAGTTACCAATATTCATAATCCCCCAAAAAAAATAGAACCTTGTTTGGTACAATTAGCCTCTAAGCAGATTGCACAGAGTGAATTTCTGAGCACATAAAATTTGGAGCTCTTGTCCATGAGAGCAAAATTCTAGCTGTTATATATCAAGGTCAGCCAAAAATGAATTTGTCAACCAACTTTAACAATGTAAGAGGACCAAGGAGTCTATTTTATAAATATTTCTACACGAGATTCAAACAATAAACACATTATTTTATTGGATTTTAATTGTGTTTAAACGTTTTTTGAACGCTCTGTGGAGACATTTATTAAAAGACTCCCTAGTGTTGACAGCAAGAACTCTTTCTAATTGCTTTAGCAGGTAGGAGGAGCATGAACTCGGGTCCTGAGATGTAAGTACCTGATGGATAAAAGTAGTCAGTCAGTGATTTAGCCTATCCGCATCTACCTAGAACTGAAATGCCAGTTTTGGATCAATCTACCCTTCAAGATGACACATTAAGACTAGCAGGGGAAACAAAAGTGGCCGAGAGAGCAATAAATAAACTGTTGTATCCAACTGTGAAAAATATATACATTTTTAATTTATGTTTGATTAGGTACAGTATAGTAATACATTATCTTTATTAACAACACATTACGAGTCCATGCAAACACTGCTGTAAGTAACATAATCTAATATAAAGCGGAGCAACGTAAGACTTTACTGTTTGTTAGTAACATTACCAGCTGTTCTGATGGCTCAGAATTCCACATGAATGTATCAGGCTTTCACTGTTATATTTGGAATTCATGTTTAACCTCAGTGCAGATTAAGTTAGTAGTTTTTCATGCAGCGAATTTGGTGGAAAAAAAAACTCAAATTCAATTTATATTTCCAAAATACATTTAGTCTGCCTTTAAAAATACTTTAGACAAACCTTGCTTATTGCATTAATATACACACACTATGTAAAAACTAAAGAAAAACTTTTTTTTTATGAAAAGTACAAATTCAAACCTGATGTCAATAGGCCAGGTTCAGCGTAATTCCCATAAATATGTACACATACAAATAAATGTAAATTATTTGGGGATTTTTTTTTGGAGATGTTTAGAAGTGATTCAGACTGAATTTTTTTTTTCTTTAGAGGATCTATGAAAAGGGAGTTTATGTTTGATGCTAGATATTTTTATAGGCTTTGTTTTATTCTTATTTTAAATACGATTGGAATGAATATTGGCTTTCTGAACTTGGAGCCTCGGTTGTAGTAAATCACTTTTGAGTGTCTGTGGAAAGAGCAGTTTAATGCACTTTGTTAACAAATCCGTTTTAGGTTAAAGGGTAACTACTTCAGAATTCTTAGCAGTTGACTATGAAGGCACCAGTAAGTACTAGTTTTACCTTATTTATATTGCCACTATTAAAGAAAGCCCAAGAGCAGGATGTTTCCTATTTTATTGCATACCGTTCAGTCACTGTACTTTTTCCAGTGTTCTCATCAACTGCTGTTATCCATTTGGGGGAATACATCTCTAGTTACATTGTTTTATGTTGGACTTTAATTTCTTGGCAACTCACAGTCAATGCACATTAGCCTGTGTCTATTTTCCAGTCTTGTACCAAATTTGGTCTTGTACCAAATGCATTTCTTTATATCACGCATTATGTCTAATGTATCTCAAGCTATGGAACAAAATTGTGAGAACGTCATGGAGTTATTTTAGGAATACCGGCAATTCTTGCTTGAAACTTGGGATGACCACAAGATTACAGGAAAGAAGTTGTGTTTTGGTGGATAAATGTTTTATATTACCAGTCAACAGCGCAAAAACTCTTTGATATGATGCAAAGTGGCACCCTAGCCTACTGTTGCTATGGACTTTGAGTACCATAAAAATACTAATCAAACTTTGTTTAAAGGACATATTTTTTCTGATGAGGAAAAAGCTCTTTTGGAAAACCTTCTCTTTACTGGATTATAAAGCAAAACTAAGACTACGACCTAACTGCAGGATTGGTATAAAACTTGTATAACTTTGGGCGCAGTGTCAACAACCAGCATTGGTAGAATGGACTTTGCTTCTCTCCATGTCTCCGTTTTCTTGCTTTCGTGAGAAATTTGGAATAACACGGGTGTTGACTTGTATTGAATAATGCAATGTTGGGTTTATGTGTAAACAGTTTAGTTTTACAACTGTCTCTTTTACTATTTTGTATTTTAAAGAAAACCTGTATATTAAAATCAAAGTTTTATTTTAAAGTCAACCGTTTTTTGTGATTTTTTTTTTTTTTTTTTTAGGTACGGTTTACTGGTTGACAATTGAGTCAGACACACACACACACACACACACACTTTTGTTATTTCAATGCTGAACTCCAGGAAGATGTAAAAGACACAAATAATTGCAGCTCTATAATAATGAATACATCATGATTTGATTATTTTGTTTAATGCAAGCAGTGGAATTAGCCTCTTGTAATCCACTGTACAGCAGAACTCAGACTAGAAGAGAAGGAAGCAGCCCAATGAACCAGTCACTTGTGCTGTAATGCTCATTTGCTAACAAGGAACATTGCCTATACGTGGAGAGAGAGAAGAAAGATGAGCTTAACATTCTACTACTTCTCCTTTTACTGGAGGTGGGACAAGACCTGTAAATGTTACTCAACTGCAGCTTGTAAAAATCTGGTCTCATGTCCTGCTAGACAGTTTTGGATAGAGAAGGGATAAATCAGGGATAGTGCTGTAAGCAAGGCATGAAGTTGTGTAAAATCTCCTCAAGACCTCAGTCAGCAATAAAAAAAATCATAAGACGGAGGTGAGATGAAGCATAATAAGCAGTGGGAAAACAGATGGCAACATAAATCTAATGGGGAATCTAGCATTCCCCGACTCTACTAAAAAAGGATTCATGTTGCTGGCTATGTCTTTATAGAGGCCCCAGACAACAATGGAAAAACAGAAATTCTTACCCTTCCCGGTCTGTCCAAGAGATCTACTGGA